GGACCGTTTTGTATACTGACCAATGATACAGTGGATCTATACTCATGATATTGACAGTTGTTAGAAATACATGTTTTGATTATAACTGTGATAGTTATTGCAAACCATCCAGTTACGGCAACAATACGGTAAAATAAACAGCAAAAAAATGATAATCAATTTCATGATTATTGTTCATAGATAAAGTCAACATCACAGTTCTTCATTTCCTCTCTGTATATTTCATCAAACTTTTCATTTTGTGCTACAGTAAACCAGTTCTTCCAGTCGCCTATAACACCTAAAACGATAAAAGTAAACATTATATTACCAACATTAACTAATTTTAACATGATCGGGTATTGCCTTAAATGACTTGGTTATTGGAGATTATTATATCAAGAATAAGGTAAAACATGAGTTCCTGTCAGATATTCAAAATTCTCTGGTTTTATCCATGAAGGGCCTTTCATTTTTATTTGCCCGCTTAAAACCTACTAATCCTTTCATTTTTTATATTATATAGTTTAAAAGCCATTTTTAATTTTTTCTTTTTATAAAATCTGGGTGTTTTTTTTCATGGTTTTTGAAAGACAAAAAATTCTTAAAAAATCTAGAAAGAATCATTTCCCGCCAGATTTTCAATATTTTATATCTTAAGGATACACACTTTTATCAAAAATCAAAATAACAGTAACCCAATACAAATAACCAGTAGACATATAAGAAATCACTTTATCTATTGGTATAATATTACCTTTTCGGAATACTGTCGAATCATGTCTGGGATCAATTATTCTTGTGGAATCATACTTGTGCTTTTTGATATTATCAAAACTGCACTTCTCTATCACCTCTTTAATGAAATCGTCATTGTGCGAGACATTTATAAACTCGGCCATTTTTTTAATCGTTGAAAACGGATGCTGAAACAGAGATATGAAGACATTTTATAAGAGTATCATTTTCTAGAAGTGATGGTTGATATTGTAAAAAATTATACCACTTGCAATGTAACAGATAAAATTGAGAATGGAAATGGAGAATGTGTCAAAGAGACAACAACCCGACCAAAGAGCAGAAAACAGCCGAGGGCCACCTATGGGCCTTCAACACAGCGAGAAAATCCTGCACCCGGAGGCAAAACCGAGGATTCCGAATATATTTCTATAATAGAAAACGGGCAAAAGATGCATGTAAGAGAATATTCCAATTCAAAGATAGTCCTGTGTATAAAAAAATAATTTCTTTTCAGGGAAGACCGTTGAACAGAGCACATGTGTACTGATCGGACAAACATGATCACTATTGGTTTTATTATTTACAGGTCATTGATGACGGATCATGCCTGCATCTTACGTACACATGTTTACGGGAGCACAGATTTGTATTTTAATGCATGATTAAAAAAATTGATTGTAGGATTTCATCAATATTTACGAACTTGGGAGCAATTTCTACGTCATTGAATTTTATTTCTCAATCAAGCGGACCGAGTTTAACGGGAATATGAATTGGAGCCGATTTTTGCAGGAATGAATTTCTATTTAAGAAGTTTTTAAATCAGAAGGATTGCATTTTTACAGTAAAATGTACAGGACTGAACTTCAAGGCGAAATGGGATTCCTCAAAGTAGAAGAAGAAAAAAAAAAGAAAAAAAAGGGGGGGAGGGGAGGGGAGGTGGAGGATGGTGGACCTTGGTTAATAAATTAAGACAAGATGCATGTATACATCATGATAGCTGCAAAGTTTGAGGCTATAATTAGTTCAGTTTGTTCATTTTACTATTTCAGTGGCATGGAACCCCTAAAACAATGACGCGTACCATTTTGACAAAAAATTTCCAGTTATATCATGTCGCGACTAACATTTTGGTCAAATTTTTTTTATACGGCTTACGGTTACGTGTTACAAAAACATAACGACAAATTAATTTGATAAAGGCAGATAACTCCTTTAAGATCTCACTGGATCGCTTCGATCCAAATTAGGCAAACATTCCTGAGGATGTAACAAATAATTTAGAAAAAGAATTTTGTCGATATCTTAATTTGTTACGAAGGAGATGCAATCACAAGGAAAACAGTGTTCAGGGAGATAACTCCTACAAAGAAAATTGTTCGGTTTAGAATGGGTGAAAATAAAAAGCGCATAAACTGTATGATACTATATAAGAAATATCTAAGCGACATCTTACGAAACAAAAATTTTACGCAAGAAAAAAATTAGGCGGAAGAAAAAAATAATAATAATAATAATAATAATAATCAGAACAAATACAATAGGTCTTTCCACAGAAAAGTGGAAAGACCTAATTATCATGTTAAATTTCATATATCAAAACAGAAAAAGACTTACTATTTTCTTGAATGCATTTCGAACTTGACAAAACTTAAAATAAAGGCAGACAATAAATAAATTTACAGTACTGCCTACAGCAATCCTACCTTAAATATGTTTATGTAATTTCTCTGTTTGTAAGGTAAGTTAAGGGTTATATCCAATTGTAAAATCACCCTTACTAAAAATAGCTTAAGGCGTAGTTAATTCTGGCTTAATCTTTAAACGCATACGTTTTGTTATTATTTATAGACGTATATGACTTTGTATCTACGACTGTATACATCCCATAGAACTAGACTGACTTCCAAATTAACAACTGAATGGTGTTACTTCCGGAAAAGGAGAAAATCCAGTGACAGCTATATTCTATATCCAAACAAACCCTTGGACCGTTTTGTATACTGACCAATGATACAGTGGATCTATACTCATGATATTGACAGTTGTTAGAAATACATGTTTTGATTATAACTGTGATAGTTATTGCAAACCATCCAGTTACGGCAACAATACGGTAAAATAAACAGCAAAAAAATGATAATCAATTTCATGATTATTGTTCATAGATAAAGTCAACATCACAGTTCTTCATTTCCTCTCTGTATATTTCATCAAACTTTTCATTTTGTGCTACAGTAAACCAGTTCTTCCAGTCGCCTATAACACCTAAAACGATAAAAGTAAACATTATATTACCAACATTAACTAATTTTAACATGATCGGGTATTGCCTTAAATGACTTGGTTATTGGAGATTATTATATCAAGAATAAGGTAAAACATGAGTTCCTGTCAGATATTCAAAATTCTCTGGTTTTATCCATGAAGGGCCTTTCAATTTTATTTGCCCGCTTAAACCCTACTAATCCTTTCATTTTTTATATTATATAGTTTAAAAGCCATTTTTAATTTTTTCTTTTTATAAAATCTGGGGTTTTTTTTTCATGGTTTTTGAAAGACAAAAAATTCTTAAAAAATCTAGAAAGAATCATTTCCCGCCAGATTTTCAATATTTTATATCTTAAGGATACACACTTTTATCAAAAATCAAAATAACAGTAACCCAATACAAATAACCAGTAGACATATAGGAAATCACTTTATCTATTGGTATAATATTACCTTTTCGGAATACTGTCGAATCATGTCTGGGATCAATTATTCTTGTGGAATCATACTTGTGCTTTTTGATATTATCAAAACTGCACTTCTCTATCACCTCTTTAATGAAATCGTCATTGTGCGAGACATTTATAAACTCGGCCATTTTTTTAATCGTTGAAAACGGATGCTGAAACAGAGATATGAAGACATTTTATAAGAGTATCATTTTCTAGAAGTGATGGTTGATATTGTAAAAAATTATACCACTTGCAATGTAACAGATAAAATTGAGAATGGAAATGGAGAATGTGTCAAAGAGACAACAACCCGACCAAAGAGCAGAAAACAGCCGAGGGCCACCTATGGGCCTTCAACACAGCGAGAAAATCCTGCACCCGGAGGCAAAACCGAGGATTCCGAATATATTTCTATAATAGAAAACGGGCAAAAGATGCATGTAAGAGAATATTTCAATTCAAAGATAGTCCTGTGTATAAAAAATTAATTTCTTTTCAGGGAAGACCGTTGAACAGAGCACATGTGTACTGATCGGACAAACATGATCACTATTGGTTTTATTATTTACAGGTCATTGATGACGGATCATGCCTGCATCTTACGTACACATGTTTACGGGAGCACAGATTTGTATTTTAATGCATGATTAAAAAAATTGATTGTAGGATTTCATCAATATTTACGAACTTGGGAGCAATTTCTACGTCATTGAATTTTATTTCTCAATCAAGCGGACCGCGTTTAACGGGAATATGAATTGGAGCCGATTTTTGCAGGAATGAATTTCTATTTAAGAAGTTTTTAAATCAGAAGGATTGCATTTTTACAGTAAAATGTACAGGACTGAACTTCAAGGCGAAATGGGATTCCTCAAAGTAGAAGAAGAAAAAAATAAGAAAAAAAAGGGGGAGAGGGGAGGGGAGGTGGAGGATGGTGGACCTTGGTTGATAAATTAAGACAAGATGCATGTATACATCATGATAGCTGCAAAGTTTGAGGCTATAATTAGTTCAGTTTGTTCATTTTACTATTTCAGTGGCATGGAACCCCTAAAACAATGACGCGTACCATTTTGACAAAAAATTCCAGTTATATCATGTCGCGACTAACATTTTGGTCAATTTTTTTTGTATACGGCTTACGGTTACGTGTTACAAAAACATAACGACAAATTAATTTGATAAAGGCAGATAACTCCTTTAAGATCTCACTGGATCGCTTCGATCCAAATTAGGCAAAAATTCCTGAGGATGTAACAAATAATTTAGAAAAAGAATTTTGTCGATATCTTTATTTGTTACGAAGGAGATGCAATCACAAGGAAAACAGTGTTCAGGGAGATAACTCCTACAAAGAAAATTGTTCGGTTTAGAATGGGTGAAAATAAAAAGCGCATAAACTGTATGATACTATATAAGAAATATCTAAGCGACATCTTACGAAACAAAAATTTTACGCAAGAAAAAAATTAGGCGGAAGAAAAAAATAATAATAATAATAATAATAATAATCAGAACAAATACAATAGGTCTTTCCACAGAAAAGTGGAAAGACCTAATTATCATGTTAAATTTCATATATCAAAACAGAAAAAGACTTACTATTTTCTTGAATGCATTTCGAACTTGACAAAACTTAAAATAAAGGCAGACAATAAATAAATTTAGAGTACTGCCTACAGCAATCCTACCTTAAATATGTTTATGTAATTTCTCTGTTTGTAAGGTAAGTTAAGGGTTATATCCAATTGTAAAATCACCCTTACTAAAAATAGCTTAAGGCGTAGTTAATTCTGGCTTAATCTTTAAACGCATACGTTTTGTTATTATTTATAGACGTATATGACTTTGTATCTACGACTGTATACATCCCATAGAACTAAACTGACTTCCAAATTAACAACTGAATGGTGTTACTTCCGGAAAAGGAGAAAATCCAGTGACAGCTATATTCTATATCCAAACAAACCCTTGGACCGTTTTGTATACTGACCAATGATACAGTGGATCTATACTCATGATATTGACAGTTGTTAGAAATACATGTTTTGATTATAACTGTGATAGTTATTGCAAACCATCCAGTTACGGCAACAATACGGTAAAATAAACAGCAAAAAAAAATGATAATCAATTTCATGATTATTGTTCATAGATAAAGTCAACATCACAGTTCTTCATTTCCTCTCTGTATATTTCATCAAACTGTTCATTTTGTGCTACAGTAAACCAGTTCTTCCAGTCGCCTATAACACCTAAAACGATAAAAGTAAACATTATATTACCAACATTAACTAATTTTAACATGATCGGGTATTGCCTTAAATGACTTGGTTATTGGAGATTATTATATCAAGAATAAGGTAAAACATGAGTTCCTGTCAGATATTCAAAATTCTCTGGTTTTATCCATGAAGGGCCTTTCAATTTTATTTGCCCGCTTAAACCCTACTAATCCTTTCATTTTTTATATTATATAGTTTAAAAGCCATTTTTAATTTTTTCTTTTTATAAAATCTGGGGGTTTTTATTCATGGTTTTTGAAAGACAAAAAATTCTTAAAAAATCTAGAAAGAATCATTTCCCGCCAGATTTTCAATATTTTATATCTTAAGGATACACACTTTTATCAAAAATCAAAATAACAGTAACCCAATACAAATAACCAGTAGACATATAAGAAATCACTTTATCTATTGGTATAATATTACCTTTTCGGAATACTGTCGAATCATGTCTGGGATCAATTATTCTTGTGGAATCATACTTGTGCTTTTTGATATTATCAAAACTGCACTTCTCTATCACCTCTTTAATGAAATCGTCATTGTGCGAGACATTTATAAACTCGGCCATTTTTTTTAATCGTTGAAAACGGATGCTGAAACAAAGATATGAAGACATTTTATAAGAGTATCATTTTCTAGAAGTGATGGTTGATATTGTAAAAAATTATACCACTTGCAATGTAACAGATAAAATTGAGAATGGAAATGGATAATGTGTCAAAGAGACAACAACCCGACCAAAGAGCAGAAAACAGCCGAGGGCCACCTATGGGCCTTCAACACAGCGAGAAAATCCTGCACCCGGAGGCAAAACCGAGGATTCCGAATATATTTCTATAATAGAAAACGAGCAAAAGATGCATGTAAGAGAATATTTCAATTCAAAGATAGTCCTGTGTATAAAAATCTTAATACATATTTACCTTCAATTGAGTACCAGTATATAAATCTTATTCTTTAGAGAAAAGCGCAAATATACAACTTTCAAAATGGTCAGGCTAAAGACGTCAAAGTGTTAGAAAATTTGAGAAAATTTGAAAAAAAAGTGAAAAGATAAGCCTTCATGGTTTGTTTGAAATGCTGAATCTGAATTTGTTTTAAAGATAGTACGTACTTGTTTAAAATAAACAAGGAATAGTGTACAGATTGGAATGCTCAACATATGATTATATACACGGACACAACACATCTACATCAAAATGCTTATGGTCTACTAAATATTTTTTATACAAACAGAAAATAAAAAAATTAGCTTAAGGTAATACGAGTTTCGAATGAGGATGTTTGTTACTCCATTTCAAAATAACAAGCTTTTCAAAAGACTGATCTAAATTGGAAGTATATGGATACAAGATCTAAAAATGCAGAAAAACTTTGCAGGGTCCGTATGCTTGTTAGAGATATATGCCATCGAAAAATTGACGGGAAGTGATTCTCTCTTTACCTTCATATATTTAACATTGGCACCGTTTTCTTTCATAAGCTATCAAAAATAACAAGGATTTCATCAGATTTTCAAATATGGCATTTTAAAGTATACATGTATGTAAAAAAAATGTGTGGGCATTTTGAGCAATATTTTAATGGCACTACATTGATAAAACCGTGGATTCCGAATATCTGCAAGAATTAAAAAAAACAAAGAGGAGCGAAAATCCTTAAAACAAGGAAAAGTATACTTCAGATATAAAAAGTGGCGATATGTGTGACAATGAGACAACTCTCCATCCAAGTCACAATTTATAAACGTAAACCATTATAGGTCTAAGTACGGCCTGTAACACGGAGGCTTGACTGATACCGAACAGCATGGTACCAAGGCCCCCAAAAAAGTCTAGTGTCAAACCATTTAATATTTACATTTGTTTGTGTAAGCGACAAAGAGAAGCGATCACAAACGACAATTTGATGAAATCCGTTATATTTTATACATTTTTTTTTGTAGATTGGTTTACGAATACCAGTGACTTACAAGTGGTTGCTGCTCACGAGGAAGCTATTAAACCAAGAGTTCCAAATGGTGAACTTGATCATCCCTTCGTAAATTTTACGGACGCCATCACGAGTTGGTTGACCGTTATGGAATATCTGTTTCACAGATGATATCCAATATGTATGTTCCTTATGTCGTAACTACAATCCCGTTCCCTTTTCACGAATGTGACCTACCGAATTAGACTATTTACCGGGTTTGTAATAACATGAGCAACACAACGGGTGCCACATGTGGAGCAGGATCTTCTTTTCCTTCCGGAGCACCTTAGATCTTATGTGTCTGTTTATCTTTTTCTTTTTTAGCCATGGCGTTGTCAGTTTATTTTCGATCTATGTGTTTGAATGTCCTTCTGGTATCTTTCGTCCCTCTTTTACAAACTTAAATGATAAATGAGCTTGAAGGCCCAATGGTGACTCCGAGGAGATATATCTATGCTTTTGTTAAGTCCATGCGTGGATGTTATTTGATGTAATAATAGCAACTATTTATTATTATAACAGAACTGAATGCTTATTGTAATTTTATTGAAGTGGTGAAGCAATGACCGAAGTACATTTTAGAAAATGTCATCCTACCGCAAACGATTTTAAGTTTTTTTGGAGAAAACAAATATCAATTTAGGCATCTGTAAGTAGACAGTGTGTGGCCAACTGAATGATGGTAAATTGAATTTTTAGGACTTTTCTAGTTTTATTCCTAAAAGTATGTAAATATAGTTGTTTGCACACTTACACATTTCAAATCTTCATATCTAACTGGTAGTATATTTGCTGTTTTAGTTTGTGCCGCCTTTTCAAATTCCCTTGTATAGTTGAACCAACCTCCTTGTAAGTCGTCTGAAAAGAAATAAATTCAGAATATACAATTTTAAAATTATTAATTGACAAAAAAAAACATTTGAATGTGTAACTGAATGAATTGTGATTTTTGTAGATAAAGTATAAATTAGGCTGTTAGTTTTGCTCTTTTGAATTGTTTCACATTTTTCATGTTGGGACCTTTTATAGGTGACTATACGGTATGGCTTTTTCTCATTGTTGAATACCGTAAGGTCACCTGTGATAGTTTATCTTCGTCATTTAAACTCAGGTTGAAGTTGTCTTAATGGGAATTATACCATACTTCTGATTTTTCTACAGTGTGCAGAGTGGTCAAAGGCACTTGACACTCCGTGCTGACACATCACAACATCCTTAGTTTAAAATATCCGTGACTTCAAGTACAATGCTGCAATTCCATCATTCTCTATTATTGTGATAATGAATTAAATACTACAAGTATGATATGTATACCTTTAAGGATCATATTATCAAAGAATTCATTCCATGTCCAATCAGGAATTCCAAGCTTGCCATGAAGAAATGTGTAATTAGAAGCCCATCTATCTTTCGGATTACGATTCAGATATATAATTTTGTATCCATTTTTCACATGATGAGTTGGTAGGTGATGTAAAGGCAAATGTGTTGTGAATAGTCTAGGGTCATCTACTTCATCTAACTTATCAAAGATGAATGAAACTAATTCAAAAATCATGTGATGTAAAGAACCTTTTGTATTATATTCTACAGACTGAGAGAGTAACATGGACAATATCTCATGGCACCAGTGTGTACCTGTAAAAAAATGTTTGTTTAACTCTTTATATGTGTTGGCTTGATCAAAGCGAAGGTGCAGATTTAAAACAAAACTTAAATTTGATATTTATAAAACAGCAGACGAAATTGATTCATATATAGTCTTAATAATTGTTGGACACATAATTATAATGGCACAAAAAAGTCAAGTTGGGACTTCCTAGAATAAATGTGAGACTTTTTCTCAATAACTTTGACCCTTAATATCATTACGATTGCCAAATTATATTAAAGAAAGTCTCAAGTTACCAAAGTGATGTATTTAAATTTGTAAGTCGAAATCAACCGACTCAAAACCAAGACTTGCCATTGCATAAGATCATATTAGTATATAAACACAACATAGAAACCTAAAAACAACATGAACCCCACCAAAAACCGGTCCGATCTGAAAAATTAAGATATAAACACGGAATACAATAAAAGGTGTTTTACTTGAAATATTAGCTAAATTTGCAAAGATTCCGAAATTTCTCACATTAATAATTGATAAAACAATATCGTAACAAATTTCCTCAAGATAACTCAACTTTTTCAAACATGTGATAGCGGTATCCAACGAACACATTCAACAGACCAGATGCGTTGACTGGCAGTATTTTATACAAATGAAGAAAGTTCGATCATCCCGTATCAACCTCCAAATATCATACATCCATCATGTTCATGCATTTCTTTATTCTACCGTATTTATCGTATAAAGTACGCAGTTGTGTATAGTACGCGTTCCTTTTTCATCTTTTCAAAATTGAGAAAAAAAATAAATAAAAAAAAAACTAGATAAAAAATTATCAAGTAAAAACATAGTACATGCTACCTCTATGAGAATACGCCAATAATTGTGATATTTTTAATTTTTATATAGATAATACATAATTGTTAATAGGAAATGAACAGTTATAAGAACCATCAACTTTGATATTTCATTTTTGGTCGTACGTGATGTTCATCATTTATCATAAGAATTGGCAGAAATAAAAAACCTGATTTCATAGTTGTACACAATATTATATCTGTGTCTTTTGTCTTGAGTGTCCGAACAGTTTCTAAATACTTTTCTATACCATGTTCCGTGATGAGGGGCCCCGAAAGAAATGTTTCCTCTCCTAGTCGAGTAAACGGATAAATCACCAGATCGGAATCGATAACGCTGAAAAATAAACAAGAACAAACCTGAAAAAACCTGAAAAAAACAATATAAATTAGGTGTGAGAGTTTCTGACAGCTGTTTAATATCAACGACATAAACGTCGAGCATATTTTGACGTACGAACGTTTCTTGGCAGTACATAGGAGTCACGATACTAAGCGGGAGTACAAAAAAACATGGCTAAAATAATGAGGACTAACAAAAGTCTCTAAAGTACTATACTAAAAAATTATGAAAAAAAAAAAAACACAAACCAAACCCAAATCACGGGTGCACTCGTGTGTTCAGGAGGATCAGCAGCACCTGCATCAGCAGATAACATAATGTCTTTTGAGTTTTGGTAGCATGACGTATTCAGTCTGATTCACCAATCTTTAACATGTTTATGTTCGAATGAATTAATGACTAATTACTATTGTTAACATAACAAGACCACCAATGTTGATTGGTTGTTGTTTGCCGTCTACTTCTATGGACACTTTACTGCAAATCGTAGATCTTATCACGGAAATCGTAGAAAGTAGATAAACCGTTGTAGCCGAAAGCTGCGTTAATAAGAAACATTTGAAAATAGTTTAACAAACATATTTTCTTTTTATGGTTTTTCGTGAAGCTACATGAAAACACTGGTAAAACTGTTTTCAAAAGTATGTTTCATCGTGCATATGCAGTATTAATCCACTTTATTGATTGACTTTGGTTTTCTTACCGTCCGGTGGCAAAATTTGATGCAAATTCAAGACGAGGATAAATTAACAAAAAAAAAAAACAATAGGTAGGTTTTTCAATAGTGGTCGACCGGGAAAAGAGAGCAGTAGAATTAGACTGCCACTGGAAAATTAGTAAACATCGGACAGAGATATGAATTAAGCCTTGCAACATTTAAGACCCCTCGAATATTTACTGAAAGAGTTTTAGCTTCCAGATAGTGCAACACTCTCTCTACACAAGGTATCGAATTTCATATTACATTTCCGATCGGTCGAGGCTATGATTTATACATTCCGCGACCTACTTTGTCAAGGGTTCTACTGAAGGTCGAAAGAAAACTAAGGAAATACAATATTTCTCTATATCAGTCAACCATTATTGTCTTAATCCACTTTAAACCAAATGTCCACCGTAACAAATACAACAACTGTTAAAAACACAACACTCACAACACCTTTCTTGCAATGCATATACATAATATGCATCATCTGCAAACGATAGAGTAAACATCTTTAAAAGCTTAAACTTTTCTTATTGTATAGATGTCAGAATTTCTTTTACGTCAGATTAGCGCATTATTTTACTATGAACAGCATAAAGCCCTTCATAAGAATTATAATTATATAAGTATTAAACAATAAATGTTACCTTTCGTTATGTAATTTTAGTGGAACATCGTGTGCATCCGCCATTATAAGTTGCTAACTTGTGTACAGGTAATGTTTGTGATGCTATGGTATTATCCACATGTAAGTGCATGTTTACGAAGGTTTATAAATGCAGACACAGAGAATAATAACTGTGACAAAGGGCAACAAGTAGAACGACGACTATGTCAGTTAAATTGATAATTACAAATGTTATAGATAATGCATATTTTAAGGTTTTTCTTGTCGTAGAACACACCGAGGGGTGTCAGGATTGATCAAATGAAAAACAGACCGTGGGGAGGTCTTTCTTTGGGCAATCCTGACACCCCGAGGTGCGTTCTACGATAAGAATATTTTGAGGTTTTTCTTGTCGTAGAACACACCGAGGGGTGTCAGGATTGACCAACTGAAAGGACAGACCTTTGGGCAATCCTGACACCCCCGGGGTGCGTTATACGACAAGAAAAACCTTAAAATATGCATTATCTGACTTATCTACCGTCAACAAATATTATTTTTTATAAAGATTTGCAAAATTTAGCATCCTGTTTTACCGACCACACTAAAGTGGGATATTCCTTTCTAATGCGTTCAGGTTTTAATAGCAATACATTTTTTAACAGATAATCAGGATATAATTATATACCCCACCCCCACCCGACCCCATTGTGAGGTACGTGAATGTTATTCAATAGAATATAAAAATATTTTATTAGTTGATCATTTGATAGAGTAAAAGGTATACATAAATGTAAAAAAGTTAAAAACTGACACGAAGGGAGCACGAAATCGTGATACATGTACATGTAACACGAAAACGAATATCAATACATGTAGGTCACAGTATGATTTCCTTTTCAGTGTATATCGTCCTGAACATGCATGGAATATTTGCCACTGGACGTTGAGCAACCAACAATCAATCAACTTATTCAGTGTGAATCAATAAGATTTTCAAAATCTTACACACGAATATGTTAAATCTGGCTTTATTTTAAAGTGTTATGAAAGATTTACATTAAAATTCATCTAACAGATATGATAATGTCTCTGTATTGTAGCGATCAATTGACAAATGACGATTTTTTCTTACACCTATCATAGATTGAACTTTAAAAATTAAATTCCCAAATCGGCAACAAAAAACTAACTGACGAATATAATTTTGCAGTAAATTATAGTTTGCATTTTTATCAAGGAAATTATTTAATGCCTTGGATCATATTTCATTGAAACATGGTATCGTCCGGGTTGATTCTTCGAAAGAACGACCTATTGTTCTGAAACAAAATAATTTCATATAGGTATATAAGAAAATATAAATATGTGTGTATAAGATTCGGAATGGATGAAGTATTTTTATCGGGAGGGATGGGGACAAAGTTATGTTTTCAAATTCTTGCCCTGTTATGATCAACATAATATAAGATTTTTTTTAAATTTTACAGTGAAATTGATTTTTTAAATAAGTGGTTTTCGCATTCTCAATTCTACTTTGGAAGAAAAATCAGTATAATTTATTTTCAACAGACCAAATAAAAGAATTAGTAGTTATTGATAATATTTTTTTTCTAATTATAATATATAACATACTATTTGGCTTTCCTTTGTCATGGACGGATAATGTTCATCAATACTTGTTTTAACCTTCCCGTGGTTCCGTACTTATACATCCCGTTATTGTGCTATTGTGCTGTGGTAAATTTTTGCTTAATCAATGTGCTTTGTCTTTAATGCCTTTTTTGTGTTTCTTTATTACATATGATGTGGCTCTGTACTTATACATCCTGTCATTGTGTTATGGTGCTATGGTAAAATTTTGTATTCTTGTCTTTCATTTTTGCTAATGTGCTTTGTCTATATGTATTTGTGTGTTTCTTTATTACATATGACATGGCTCTGTACTTATACATCCCGTCATTGTGTTAATATTGTGCTATGGTAAATTTTTGTATTCTTGTCTTTCATTTTTGCTAATATGCTTTGTCTATATGCCAATTTGTGTTTCTTTGTTACGTATTTGTTTGTTATTATTGTGATTAAGATTATGAAACAATGTTGATTGCTGTACCTCAATTTTTGACATTTTTACCTATTGTGTTTGTTTGTTTTGATCACACATCGTTGTCAATATAATGGAATTTTAAGCGTCTGTCATACAAGTGAGTGGTTAAGCTAGCTTTAAAACCAGGTTTAATCCACCATTTTCTACATAAGAAAATGCCTGTACAAAGTCAGGAATGCGACAGTTCTTATTCATTCGTTTGATGTATTTGAGTTTTTGATTTTGCTATTTATTTAGGGACTTTCCGTTTTGAATTTTCCTCGTTGTTCTGTATTTTTCTGATTTTATTTTTTTGTTAAAATTGCTTATTTTGAAAACAAAAATCATCAAATGTAATGAAATACTGATCAAGTTCTCTTTTGAAAGGAGTTGGTTCACTAACAAATAATTTTGTTCCTAAAAAGCTGATTTACTTTTAAATGCGATGATGTGAAAATCAAACGAAGATATATGATGAAATGTCCAATCTTTTTTTTTTAGATATAAACAATTTTGAACCAATTACGTAATACGTGACTCCAAAGGAATCAACGTAACTTTTAAACCGGTAAAGTAAATTTTCTGGATAAAGGACGAACAAGAGTTGTAATTAGTTTATTCATGTTAATAATTATCTATACTACTAAAGGAAGAGACAGATTTCATTGAACCGCAACTCCTTTTAAACCATACAAAGTCGGAAATATTTGTGATATGACGTATAAATTTAGTGTTTGTACCACCTAAATTTGTCTTTGAAACAATCTTTTTTTCCACAAAAAAACCCGCCAATTTTTGAGAAGATATCCAAATTCGAACACTGTTTTCGATCCGTGTCTTGTACGCTTTCGCGCATGCTCAGTCAACGTACTGCCCGCAAAATCCAAGTGAAAGTAAGACGAAAGGACCTCCCCCTTTTTATGTGTATACACAGGCACCCGACGTCTGGACACCTCCCCCTTTTTATGTGAATATTACCGCAATTTCGCGGCCATCTTCTAGTTGCCCTGGTATCGGGTCCACAGTCCAAACGCACAACCCGTAACACGCCCCTTTTTTATACTTAGGTCCAACTTTGATCAGTGCGACTCTTAAATAAATGATAGAATTTGGTCAATTTCAAATAGTTTTCAACATGTACAAGACAGATGTATAAGACATATGCAAGTACCAACTAACTAATTTACCACGATGTTTGAACAAAAACTTTGGGATTTACCAAATTCTATCATTTATTTAGGGTTGGTAGAAGGGGTGTCATCCCGAATTCTCCTAATGTCGATACCGTCCTCTTTTTTCGTTAATGAATGCAACTTGTCACCGACGTTTTACTTGCTACGAGCCACAGGACGGTTGTCACTATGGAAGTAGGATCTGCTTAATCTTCCATAGCTTCTAAGATCACTCCTGTTTTTTAAGTTGGGTTCGTGTTGCTCAGTCTTTACTTTTGTGTGTTATACTAGAAATGATGTTACATGAAATACATTTACTTTGAAATATGGAAAGGATAAAAAACATGTATATGTTAAATATAGCTTATCTTTAAACATAACCTATCCTGATTATCTATTTATCAAGCGCAATCCAGTAACAGTCGTATCAACCTTGTATTATAACGTATTGTTATAATTGGTACGTCCCGCAACAACTTTGCATAGATTATTACCTGACCTGACTTGTTATATTTTTAACCTAGTTCACACGCCAAGAACAAAATACTACGTCCGTAAAGTACATTTTTACTACGCCCGTAAATATCTCAAATAGGGGGGACCCCGCATTAATCTAAGTCGCTCATCAGGGTTTTTTTATATTGTTATCTGGTTATACTGAATGCATTATAAAATAGAGAAAAAGATTAGTTAAACAAACAAATGCCTTGGATGAAATCAAAGATTACAAATCTGACCTTGATTTTAGGGGCAAGGGAGATAATCCAACCAACCAGGGAAACTGTTACAAGCTGAAAGATGGGGTTATCTTTCAGCTAAAAGTCAAAAATTTGAAAAAAGACCGATTTTATTTCAGATGAAAGACAAGACAGTTTATTCATTACTATTGACATCTTTAACCAAGATGTGTATTGTGTGATTGACACAGGATCTACAATGAGTGTTTATAGTTCTATTTTTTATGAATTACCCAATCATATCCAATAAAACGTTTGGTCCCGTATCATTGTAGTCTCCGTATGGCAAATGATAGTCCTGTGATCCCTCTAGGTAGCTTATCAGTACGTTTGTAATAAAGCGACCAGCTAATCTAAAACAAACATGTTAATAGCTGATGTAGAAATACTAGCAGTACTTGGATATGACTTTATGTCAAAGAACCATTGCATCCTTGACATAAATAATCAAACCATTCTTATAAATGACCAAACTGTGCTTTGTAAGTTAGAGAGCCAATTACCAAATTTGCTTATAATAACAGTTGATAAAGATATATCCAAACCTGTAACGTCAGAAATGATAATTCAGGGCAAACCAGTAAAAAACATATTGAAAGGTATTACTATTGTAATTAATTCATTCACAGAATCCCTACAAAATAAAGGGGTGTTTGTCGCCAAGTCCCTTTGTACTGATGGACAACGGGGAATACCCCTCATGAGCGTCATCAATGTGAGTGATCAACCCCAAACCATATTTAATAAATACATTAGCAGCAACAGCTGCATAAATACCAGATCAAGATATATATTCTTTTTTAGCAAGGAGATGACCACCTTCTTAATATTTCCTTGCTTTAAGATATGGTGAACAGATGCCATGACCAGCTGACCCAAGAATAACACCAAAATAGTTCAAAAATTAATGAATGGAAACAAAAATGTATTTTGTACGTCTAAGTATGACATAGGTCTGACCAATATTGTCAAGCATAAAATTGACACAAATAATGTAGGGCCTATTAAGCAAGTCCCTGGACGACTTCCAATGTCCAAAAGACAGTCGGGGCAGTTAGCAAACTCCATAATATTATGGAATTCCGTTTTTTTTTTTTTGAAAAATTATAGTTATTTCCTTTTGACTAAT